CCGGAACGGCTAATCCAAGATCAGTTAATCCTGGGGTGGCACAAAGATCGGGACTTTCCCGACCTCCAAACGCCCAGCGGCAGGCGATTCATCCTGGCAATCCGCGGACCATACAGACAAGAGCAGGACACTTGGCCCAGAGCCAGTACTTTTCGAGGTAACTGCTTCTCCTTGTAAACCATGTCACGTGGCGTAGGTTGTTGCACCTCTCCACAGCCTTCTGTCTCTTGTCAGTTTCATATCAATTACATGACCTAAGGGAGTCGCCGTGGCGGAGCGGCTAGACGCTCGCCGCCGATTGGAAGGTCGTGGGTTCGGTCCCTGGCGAAGCCGAACTTTTTTTTCAGAAATGACCTTAGCTCCCAGGCCGACCCAGCCTTGAGTGGGTACCGGGTGCAGTCCCTGGAAATAAAGGCGGCCGGCGTGATGCTGACCACATCACCCATCGTGTGCCGATTGGTCCATAAAATATAGGTCTAGCCCTATATGCCCTATACGCCTTAAGGCGTGGGAAAGGGTCCTTTACTGTTTGTGTGTTTTTTACTTTCATGACCTAATATACCAACCAGAGCTGCCGTGATGTAGCGGTTAGACGCTTGTCTGCCGATTCGACGGTCTTGGGTTCAAATCCGTACCCAGCCGGATTTAAAAATCAAAAAACCTTGGCTACCAGATCGACCCAGCCGTAAATTGGTACAAAGTAAAGTTTCCGGGAGATAAAGGCGGCATGTGTGATAGTGACCACATCATGCCAAGTATACATTAGGGCCTGGAAAAAGACCCTTGTACAAACCCAATACTAGAAAATGTGAATTCACTAGTCGGCCACTTGAACTGTTAAGAACGCAGGACTGTCATGCGGGAGACCCGGGTTCGAATCCTCGGTAAGATTTGGGGTTTTTTCTGCCTAAAGGAAAAATAAAATTCTAACCTGCACAGTGCGTTTGCCACTGCTGATGCCAGATAATTAAATCTGATAAAGATTTATGTCCTTGCTATGATGTGAAGTCACAGTGGCGGAGCGGCTAGCGCCTGGCCTGCAGCGCGACGGTCTTGAGTTCGAATCGATATTGAGTCAGATTTTACTTCAACGTTGATTTGGCTCCCAGGTCGACCTAACGTAAAACGGGTATCCAGGCATCATGGAAAGTAAAGGCGGCCGGTGTGATGTTGAAGGCATAGCCCACTGAGTGCAATATAGATGTGTTTTCTAATACGAAAGTTGACAATACATTGAGCAGCCGGAGAGGAGAGTAAGTCACAATCAGGTTGTTGTTTTTTCTTTTCTTTCTGGCGGTGTGTGAGAAATGCAGTATACTACATTGTGGTATAGAACCAACCAGTAGGTATGCTTGTTAATTTCCCAAAAACCTGCATTTTGTGGGGACAAATATAAAAAAGACCGTATCTACCAGGGAAATCTGAAACGAGGCCGTCCACTCTGCACGGAGCATTCATGTCTCAGCCTTTATTCATCACGATTCATATTATGATGTATGTCCATCACGTGTGCACGAAGGTGGCTGATTAGTCCAATATGAGCCTGGAAAGTTCTTGAGCAGTGCGGACAACATGTGGAAGCCGTAGTAAGTGGGGATTAGAGATACGGCTCTTTCTAGTCTCCCTCCGTTTTTTTGCCTGTGCAACCTCCGCTGCCTGGCAGGACGATGCACCATGCCTGAGGGATGTACGCCATCCAGAGCGGTCTTGTGCAGCAGCCTCCGCTGTGTTGATGCCAACAGAATTGAGAGTAGTCCTGAGAGTGTCCTTATAGCGCTTTTTCTGTCCTTCCAATGACGTCTTCCCTTGCTGGCGCTCGCCATGGAATACTCGCTTTGAGAGGCGATAGTCTGGCATGCGGGCTAGGAAACATACAAATTATTTATTACTAACAGATAACCATTTCAAATCGACAGTTACGTTCTTACCTGTTGCCATCTTTTCTTTCAGCGGTCACCAACCTACCTGACTACCCACAGCTGCCTGCAGGTAAATCTTCCCTTCTTGTTTGATCGTTATCATCGTCACCACCATCATTATCACTACCACTATCACTACCATCATCAACATCAACACTACCATCACCATCATCATCATCACCACTACCACTATCATCACCACCATCACCGATCACCGAAAACATCAACAGCTTTATCACCTTCTAAGTGATCGTGTTTAGCGATACCGTTCTGAATTTCACCCACCAAACTTTTTATATTGCATTTTTTTTTTTTTACTTCTTGAAAGAAATGTACACTAAAGTCAAGAATCAACGTTGCACATTCGGCGCATCAAACATATAATGTTGGACACAATGAACATATAATTGTCTTTGGTAGGTCTGTTGCCTGGAATGTAAACTTGTCAAGATGACTCCACAGACATACATCGGACACCTAACCAACAGAGACAGTCCCTTTTTTGTTTGCTAGTGTTGCGATATTTTTCCTAGTACATGTTGCAAGACAACGGCGTGATTATAGTAATGGATATCCTACTTTTAATGTTTCAATTTGAATCTCATCGTACCATGCTTTGATAGGTAAAGGTTAAAGTCTGGAGATGTGAACCAGCGTCATTGCACACGGTTATAAACAATAAGTGCTCCTTCGCCAATACTGACAGCTGAAAAGAAACTGTACGTCTGTGTCGCCGTCCGCCCGCAACTCCGTAGCCATAGCCACGTTCCCCCATTTACCCCAGAGTGTTTACTCTGGTACCCATTAACTAGAGGCTGGGTGAACCACAGGAACCGCCCGGTTTCGAACACCGGCCGTGGGCTGCAGCGAGTCGCAGCTAGATTTGAAAGCGAGTCTCCTATCGACTGCGCTAACGCGGCCCCATACCAACACAAAAGACAAGTCAACGTGCCTTTGTCAGCCCATTATATAATATGTTTAAAATACGACACTCACGTCTGTCACTTAGGCCATTACTGAAAGCAAAGAATAGTAACACTGCACCCTACCAAGCATGTCGTGAAAGGCTGCTAATGGTTAATGTGGGCTCGAGGTTGGCTACCTCATCCTGTAAAAACAATCGCCACAAAAACCAAGCCATAAAACGGAAAAGTCAAAAAGAGCAACAAGTAAAACCCAGCCAGCAAAGATGAGGGGAGTCGCTTCAAGTAGAAGTTTGACACGGTGTAGAGAAAGCCGTAAGGAGTCCGGATCGTCGACGTACCTCCTCTCACCTAGGAAAACCTCCAGAATTGGCACGTGGAATAGAGAGGTGTCTTCTTCTTCTTCTTCGTGTTCACCAGCTGTAAACTCTGGCGGAAAGTTCTGGTTGTTCATCCACTTTCGGTCTGCAGTCGTGTTCCAGAACCTGAGTGTTGCCTGTCCACCCGTTTTTCAGATCTGACTCATTTGTATGCAGAATGCTGGTTCCTTGCCTCTCAGGCAGATGCACTCCAACTTCGAAAAAAGCTCCCAATTAGTCGACTCTTACGACATGTTTTTGTGTAGGCAGTGGGTCTATTCTTGTTTTCCTTAGATAGGGCCCAGGAACCCACACATGGAAGAGCGAAGTTAAAAAAGATTAGGAGGGACATGGGGTGAGCTGCAGACGATAGTGAAGGATACAACGACTTGGCGTGAGTTGTTTTTGGGCCTATGCTTTACTGGGGGTTAGAAAGGCAGAAGAAGAAAAGAATACCATAAGTAGGAACCAAAATACGTGCAGAAAAAAACAGTCACTTAGCCGACAAATCTCCGATGCTTGTGGGCCTGTCCACAGGTCAGCGCATGTTTAAGTACGTCAACCTGACCCTGAAGACTTTGTTGGGGTTCGTGCTAGTCTCCTGGGACCTGGAGGACTCCTACCTGCGGACCGCGGTCAACTGTAGCCTCATCTCTGAGTACATCCTTGTGGGGGACTGCGCGACCACGGACGGCAACCAGACCAAGAGCTCGGTGGGTGTGGTGGTGGTGGTGATTTCCAGGTGTTATCTTGCGTCATCATCATCATCGTCATCAGCACCACCATCATCATCATTCTTATTATCATCATCATCACTACCAAAATCACCATCATCCTCATCTCATCATCATCCTCAACTTCCTCAACCTCCTCCTCATCATCCTCTTTATTCTCATCAGTACCACCACCATCACCCTCATCACCATCCTCCTCAACATTATCATTATCATCATTAGTACCACCACCATTAAAATCATCATCATCATTCTCACCTCATCATTCTGATCACCAACATCATCAGCACACCCACCATCGTCATCACCGCCACCATCTTCATCACTATCATCATCATTATCATCATGGTAATCATCATCAGCACCACCACCACCACCAGCATCATCATCATCCTTATCATCATCTTTATTATCATTATCACCGTCTTCATCATCATCATGTTTCATGCTATCTCACACGATCACCGTTATCACGGATCATGTTAGTTAGTGTTCTTGTCTCACCCATCCATCTGGCCAGGCCATGCAAGTATTTTTCTCTTTCTGCCTTCTTCTTGCTTCCTTTCCATCAACCGTGCCAGTTGTCCCTTCTTGCTTCCTTTCCATCACCGTTATTTTTCCCTCAGCTTCCTTTCCATCAAAAGAAAATTGTCCATGTCTACGTCTAAAACCGTGCCAGTTGATCATGTCTGCTTCTAAATATTTGTGTGCCAGTTGTCCCTTCTGCTTGTTTGTCCATCACCGTGCCAGTTGTCCCTAAATGTTTGTAGATCATGTCTATGTCTAAATGTGCTGTGATCACGTCTACGTCTAAATGTTTGTAGATCGTGTCTATGTCTAAATGTTTGTAGATCGTGTTTACGTCTAAATGTTTGTGGATCATGTCTAGTCTAAATGTTTGTAGATCACGTCTACGTCTAAATGTTTGTAGATCATGTCTATGTCTAAATGTGTGTGTGATCATGTCTACGTCTAAATGTTTGTAGATCGTGTCTACGTCTAAATGTTTGTGGATCATGTCTGGTCTAAATGTTTGTGGATCATGTCTAGTCTAAATGTTTGTAGATCATGTCTACGTCTAAATGTTTGTGGATCATGTCTATGTCTAAATGTTTGTAGATCATGTCTACGTCTAAATGTTTGTGGATCATGTCTACGTCTAAATGTTTGTGGATCATGTCTACGTCTAAATGTTTGTGGATCATGTCTACGTCTAAATGTTTGTGAATCGTGTCTATGTCTAAATGTTTGTAGATCTGTCTAAGCATTCTAAATGTTTGTGGATCATGTCATCAGACAAAATGTGGCATCACATCATGTCAATACGTCTAAATGTGTGTAGATCGCTGTCTCACGTCTAAATGTTTGTGGATCATGTCTGAGCAAAGTGTGTGGATCATGTCTGGAAATGCCCTGTCATCTACGTTTGTATTAAATATCTAAATGTTTGTGATCATGCCTATGTCTAAATGTTTGTGGATCATGTCTACGTCTAAAAAAATTTGTGAAAACTGTCTACGTCTAAATGTTTGTGGATCATGTCTACGTCTAAATGTTTGTAGATCATGTCTACGTCTAAATGTTTGTAGATCATGTCTACGTCTAAATGTTTGTGGATCGTGTCTACGTCTAAATGTGTGTGGATCATGTCTACGTCTAAATGTTTGTAGATCATGTCTACGTCTAAATGTGTGTGGATCATGTCTACGTCTAAATGTTTGTAGATCATGTTTACGTCTAAATGTGTGTGGATCATGTCTACGTCTAAATGTTTGTAGATCATGTCTACGTCTAAATGTGTGTGGATCATGTCTACGTCTAAATGTGTGTGGATCATGTCTACGTCTAAATGTTTGTGAATCTCGATATCATGGGTACAGGGCCGCGTTAGCTATTAAGCATTCTAAGTACGTTCTCATGGCATCAGACAAAGGAAGGGGCATCACATACATGTTCAGTAGCCATGGAGCTGAGCGCTTTCTCAGCTGAATCATCGTTTGAAAGAAATTCTATCAGAGCAACAGGGCAGCCAGACAGACTGGATGCCCTATCATTATTAAATATATAATAATATGCGATACATAAGATTATGTTTTGAGAATCTGATCAAAGACTTTACGATTTAAATAAGAAAAAAAAATGAATGAGAAAACTGTTTAAATATAAACAAAGTGAAGATATACAACAACAAAAAAGACATTATTTTGAAGTGTGTGTCGCGACCGGGGACCGAGGGGGAAAAAATGGGGGGGGGGGGGGGGGCGTGTTAGTGGTTGCCAAGTAGACCAGTTCTTCCTATAGCTGCGGCTCTAGCGCCCCTAAGGGTGACTGGGGCAGTTGTAGGGGCAGTAGCTTCACCGATCCGTCGTATTTGAGGGCTGGTGGAACGGCCCAGGAGATGGTAGGAGCCTCAGGTGCAGTTAGGGGTTATGACTTAACATACAGCAGCGATGGAGACAACGATGAAGTAGAGGGCCGGAGAACACAATTGTCTGTCCTATTCGGGGGATATATATATATGTATATATATTCTATGGCGAAGCCATAAAATGACCCTGACTCCCAGGCCGACCCAGCCTTGAGTTGGTACCGGGTGCAGTCCCAGGAAGTAAAGGCGGCCGGCGTGATGCTCAGCACATCACCCATCTTGTGCCGATTTGTCTGTAAAAATAAAATTGTCTAGCCCTATATGCCCTATCTGCCTAAAGGGTGGAAAATGGACCCCAACTTTACTTTTTACATATAAATATATATACATACACATATAATATGTGTGTGTGTGTATGAATGTATGTACGTATATAAGGATAATATAGATGGATAAAAGAACTGTTGGCAGGCTATAATTAACGAACTGAAACGTCTCACTGACCACAACCTATCACTACACATATGCCTGTCTGCAGACCATCCGACTCGACCAGAAGATACGGTCCTACGAGCTTCAGAACGTGGACCCGTGGCGGACCTTAGCTGTGACCCTCAAGGGAGAGGCGGCCTCTGGTCAAGTCGACCACATGACGTCATCACTGACCACACACGACCAACGTACGTCACAGTCACACATCGTCAGTCGTCACCTCATTATTGTTCGTCACATCATTATCATCACCAGACCCGTAACTCAGTGACAGCCCTTGCTCTTCGATCAAATTCTGGCACTCTGGTCTCTGGGTAGTGATATCGGACGCCTGTGTGTATTGTTGCGCACGTAAAAAATACCTTGGCAGTTGGAAATGAAAAAGAGTAGCCTCAAACTCTGGCACTCAGTTCTTCCTCCCAACTGATCAACCAACTTCCTCCACCCAACTGTCTAACACTTCAGCCCAGCATTTCCACCCACTTTTCCTACGTACATCAAATTGTCATCCTTTTCCCCCACCAAAGATTTCTACCACATACCCTTGCTGTCAATGTTGAGCATGTAGACACTAAGATGGCTGCTGCATCGGAGAACGGAGCAGGTACGGGTCAGGTCTATTTGTTAGGATGTCGATAGGGACAACATGTAACAAGTATTATATACCTGATGAACGACCGGCCATGTAATGGGTCCTTTACTTGGACAGTTTTGTGTAGCCTCAGTTACGTTTCGGCTAGTAGTAGTGCTTGAGTTATTTTCTTCTTCTTCTTCTTCGCGTTCACCAGCTGTAAACTCTGGTGGAAAGTTCTGGTTGTTCGTCCACTTCTGGACTGCAGTCCTGTTCCAGAATCTGAGTGTTGCGTGTGCATCCGTTTTACAGATCTGACTCATTTGTATACACACTGCTGGTTCCTTGCCTCTCAGGCAGATGCATTCCTACTTCGAAGGAAGCTCCCAATTAGTCGACTCTTACGACATGCTTGTGGGTAGGCAGTGGGTCTATTCTTGTTTTCGCTATAATAGGGCCCTGGAACCCACACAGGCAGCTCGAGTTATGAGTTGGGTTATCTGCCTGCTCTCCAGGTTATGAGTTGGGTTATCTGCCTGGCTCTCCAGGTTATGAGTTTTGTTATCTGCCTGGCTCTCCAGGTTATGAGTTGGGTTATCTGCCTGGCTCTCCAGGTTATGAGTTTTGTTATCTGCCTGGCTCTCCAGGTTATGAGTTGGGTTATCTGCCTGGCTCTCCAGGTTATGAGTTGGGTTATCTGCCTGGCTCTCCAGACACGCCCATTGGTGCACAGCTTCTCCCTTCAGAAAACATGTCAGCCTCGGGCGGTTAATGATGCCAGCCCTATTCTGGTTAACAAGACTCCGTGTGCGTCCAGTGTGCATCTCACGCCTGGCTGTGCCGATCTCGACTCTTTGTCGGAGAGCGTGTACAGTTGGGAGGAGCAGACTGATCACCACAGTCTGGTGAGATTGATGCAGCGGGGGTTGACGAGAGGTTCTGGCAGATGCTCGAGGCTCCGAGCAAGGAACGGCAAGACGGACGTTTGATCAGAATGCTACTGGCACCATTAGTATCGGAACTCTTCACTGGCTGCTGAAGATGGGGACGGAGCGCTTATGGGATCGCCCCGAGTGCTGTGATGTCGGTTTTTTTAATCAAATCAAATCAGATCAAATCTACTCCTAATTCTCGCATTCTGAGCAGTAACGTAGACACACTGCTTCCAAAATCCTTTCTCTGTAAGGGCGTTAGAGGTGTCATCGACCGGCCATCTGCAACTATTGCAGAACCGGCCTGTCTATCAGCTCTTTCATTGCCAACAACGCACGCCTGACCTGGGGCGAAGAAAACGGTAACTCCACTTACTATGAAGTTTCACAATAACTCAATCTACTGTCTGCATACAGAGCCTGTCTCGACCCGTCCGATCATGATCAAAGAATCACGCAGCACACATGAAGGTGGAAACAGTCCTGAGATTCTTACCACACGGAAACTTGTGTCGCTGACATCACCTCCGGCTGCATGCTTAACTATAGCGCTTTCCCCATTTTGTTTTTGTATGACCTTCTCCAACACGTTCATCAGGAACTGTTTTGATAAGAGTGCTATAGCTGAGCATCTGGGAGAACTGGCTCATAAACAGCATCCTGCCCTGAAAGTTGTGGTATTTTGGCCATGCTAGACATAGAGAGAACGGTGATGGGGAGTAGTTTCTAGAAAACGAAACAGCAGCAGACCGAAGATGGAAACAATACATAAAGGTGCACTGGCTGGAAAAGCACATAGGGTTGGGGAATTGGCTAGGGAAAAAGAGACTTTCTGGCCTGTCGTGACGACAGCATCAATCTGTACAAAACCAGTTGATTGATGATGATGATGATGCCTATATTATGTTATGCCAATCGACGTCACTGTTGTACATTAGGCATTCCCGTACGTACCAAGGTCTTCATTTCTGCAACAGCTCCAAGGGTACCCCAACGTTGACGATGTCTTATTATGTGATGGAACTGTTCCACTTGTCTCTTCGATAATCTCCTTCTTCGATCCTTCTGTCGGAAAACTTATATCATGAAACCAGTAGCCTTGGTACAGACTATCGTGCAGTCCACATCTTCTCGTGCACCATACATCTTTGTCTTCATTGTGGTTGGAACAGGCCAGATTGCGTCTCTGTTGTCAGCATACAAATGACAGTGTTGGAGCTCATGCTCAGCATTTTTGGGTGCCACGCTACAGGGACACGTCTGCGCGTTTCCTACACCGAAAAGTTTGAACATATGTTGACGAAGTTGTTTGTGCATTGAGCTTAGTCTGAGAAATAACATATTGTCCCTCTCTAGAGAGGCGATGAAGCGAGTCTTGAGGTGAAAAAATTGTGTGTGTTTGTGGGTGTGTGTGGGTGTGTGTATGTGTGGGTGTGTATGTGTGGGTGTGTATGTGTGGGTGTGTGTGTGGGTGTGTGTATGTGTGGGTGTATGTGTGGGTGTGTGTGTGTGTGGGTGTGTGTGTATATGTGGGTGTGTGTGTGTGTGTGGGTGTGTGTGTGGGTGTGTGTATGTGTGGGTGTGTGTGTGTGGGTGTGTGTGTGTGTCCAGCAACCTTTCTTGGATACTAGATTGTATTAATGTCTTCGTCTCTTGGTGGGTTAAGTCACTGTTTGGTTGTACCATGTCACTGCCGCTTCTAACCAATCTATCCCCTATTTCGTTGCCTTCCAAGCCACAGTGACCTGGAATCCGCTCAGTACAATATGTTCTACAATGATAACCATTAATGTCTTCCAGAACCCGTAGGGACTGTTGATAATATTCGAACGGTTTCCTTGCAACCCGAGTCTGCCCAGCTGTCGTGGGATCCGCCGCCCTGCGAAGAGAGGATGGGTCTTCTGAAACATTACACCATTGAACTGTGGCCGACTGCAGCCAGGCAGAGGTAGGTGGTACCTTATTCAGTCAAAATCGACCCCCACCCCCTCCCCACCCTGCACCCCCACCCACGGGTTTTAGTTTTATTCCTGAAGCTGAGTATGAATACATGACCACTTTACAGACCTGGCTTATGTGGAGGCTTTTGCTGGAAAAAGAAATCGTAACGTTCAGCCAGCATCCATGCAGGGAGAGATTTAGGTTATAATTGTGACTAGGTTATGTGCACCATATAAAATTGCTTAGCATTGCACCCCATCATAAGCCACTAAAAAGACCCCTGCACTGTTGATGCGATAAAGAAAACAGACCCAAATACTGTCTCCACCAGCGACGAAGTCGTCTACTGGCTAGCCAATGAGCGACCTGGTCGACATTGTATGCAGACTGTGGGTTTCTCTCCTCTCATGCAGACTCTCAGTCGGTGGCAGTGGTGCTATGCTGTGCTTCCTCAGTGGGATCCAGCAATACAACACTGAAATGTACACACACATGCACACATACACGCACACGCGTGAGCACACACACACAAGACTCTGACTTTAACTCTTCGAGTCCCAGGGGGTTTAGCATCACAGTCCCAGGGGTAGTCAAGAGAGACATAAAATCGGCGCATCTTGCGTTCATTGGGCTTGTAGGTGGGAATCTATGAACGTATGATGCCTTCCTTAGGACTCAAAGAGTT